TCATCAACTTGATATTTAATTATGTTTTTTTTAAGTGTGCTAATGGTAAGGGGTTAATATCAACGGCATATGCTTGCACAATTTGATTAGCTTTAGCTAAATAAATTGGTAAAAGTCCATGATCAGTACCAATATCACAAATAACATCATGATGATTTACTAGCTTAGCAATCGTAAACGACGAGTTTATAATATCATTGTTTTAATTTTCCTTTCCTTTTATTATTTATTATAAATACAGATGAAGTTTTACAAATGAAATTGTTTTGATTAATCAAAACAATATCATTTGTAAGTAAAAGTAATTATTATTTTCTTAAATGCTAAGAAAAATAATAATTATTTTAAAATTAAATGTTGATGATAAATTAGCCCTTAAAAAAGTCTTTTAAAGCTTTCGAACGAGAATTACTAGCATTTGGTTTAAATTTACGAATTGTTTTTGCTTCAACTTGTCTAATTTGTTCCCTTGTGATTAGAAAGTAAGAAAAACAACAAATGAATATTTTAGTTGAGTTGGCCTAACATTATTTATTCAGTAAATTAAATGGCATTTTTTTTTTTTTTTTAAATTTTATTTTGACCTCTTACTCTACTTCCCATTTTCATGGGCTGTTACGTAGAGAGTACCTAACTATGTGGTGGGGGGACCCCAAGGTGCAGCCACTAGTCCGCACTCCCCCACCACGCACTGTGAGGGGGCCCCGACCCCACACGATTGCGGCACAGACCGGAAAAACCCATTCGGGAAAAACCGCTGCCACCAGGATTCGAACCCTGGCCCATTTGGTCCACAACCGTGCTCTCTAGCCATTAGGCTATCGACTCACAGTCATTAGGCTATCGACTCACAGACATCTCATACATACGTATTTCAATGCTAAAACTATGGGTGAATAACGTATTTGTTTTGCTAAAAGAACAATCTTAATTATTTTTATTAGCCTTGACAATTTCAATCAAAATTCTCCAGTATGGTTCGTATTACTGCATATGGGATGAAAACTTTTATGTCTGTATGTAAATATGTATGTGAAAATATAGTGAGTTTTTATTTGGATAAGCCGAGCAATAAAGTGAATCTCACAAAAACCTGGACTGGGGTTTCGAGGAGATTAAAAAAGAACTCTCAATACTCGGGACCTGGTGTATTATTTTTCAGAAAGACTATTTCCTGGTTGTGAGGTGTGCAAAGTTTCAAATTTGCAAAATAAGTAGTCTAGGAAATACTTACATATTTACATACATACATAAAAGTTTTCATCCGATATGCAGTAATACGAACCATACCGGAGAATATTGATTGAAATTGTCGAGGCTAATAAAAATAATTAAGATTATTCCTTTAGCAAAACAAATTCGTTATTAGTTTTAGCATTGAAATACGTATGTATGGGATATCATTTAATTTACTGAATAAATAATGTTAGGCCAACTCAACTAAAATATTCATTCGTTGTTTTTCCTACTTGCTAACCACATATGCAAATATGTCTTAGCTTTAACGTTCCATATTTGGCTGCAGATTGTATAATAAGTTGCAAGCGGGGATCATTTTGCGAATAGAAAAGGTTTTGTTTCAGTGTCTCGAGACCTTTTGAATTGGCCATGTACTATGTAGGGAAGTCGGACTACTCATATTTAGAGACAGTCCAAGCCCTTTTGAATAGGCCATACTGAACGCACATTTCGCCACTTACACTCACATCAGATCTGATCTGAAGGGTAATTTTGGTCCTGTTCAACGTGAACCAAGCGCACCCTCGTAAATTTTAGAATCCTTCCACTTTATTACTTTATTGCATTTTTTACACTAAAAGCATTATAATTCATGGTTATCATACTAGGCTAACACTCGGGGAAATGAACGATCAAAGCAACGTAAAGCTACTATCTTTACTGAACACTTTATATGTAGACCGTTATGTTTTATTCTTCCTTTATCAACCCCACGTTAAAATAGTTTTGAAGGGAGATGAAGCCTACCTTGAAAAGGTGAATCGAAAATGGAACAGCGTTTGGATTTTTTGTTCCTTTCTCGAAGCTTTTGCAATAGTTTTTGTGTGCGTCTGGGGGATTCATTGCGTCCTGAGAGATGAAGTTGCACAATCTGTGCAAACTGAGGTTGACCTTCGTTTCTTGGTTTGGGGATGCCTAGCAGCCTACCTTACATTGGGAACATTGCTGTACTATCTGCTTTTGGTCAAGTGCTTGGACAATATTATCAACGGATACAGACAATCACTGATTCTGGAGGGTCGATTGAAACGGGGTAACACGTCCTCTAATTTATCAAAAGTTTGCTGATCCAATGTTTTTCTGTTTGTCTTCCTTTTAGAGTACTTGAAGTCATCCGCACAAGCTGAAAATAAGAAAACCATTCCCGTTATAGAACAAGCCTTCTACTTTGTAATGTCTATTTTCGCATATGTCGGATATTTCTTTACCCCGTTTGGTGCACTGGGGGTAATGATGCTGGATTTAGATCCATTGTACTACATTCAGAACGATATGTTCATAACGATGCCATGGGTACTAGCGATCCTCAAAGCAGTTACTGTTCAGTCAGACATCTTGCTGATACTGTTATGCACGTTGGTTCGGTTCTGTTGTTTGGTCTTTGCAATGTACGAGATTGAACGAGCTGTCCTATTCGGAACAGCATTTTCGTATCACACACTTAAAGTTATGCGTGACATTAACAACCTCATATCGGATTTCTTTGCATTGGATCTAAGTAAGGGGGAAACTGGACGATCGTTGAGAAACTTTCTTTTACATACGTATAGAATTGTTTTGATCCTGTTTGTCAATATTGAAAATCTGATTCGGGTTGGTTGTCTGGCCTCCCCACTTGTCGGAGGAATGCTAATAATCCTGTGCAACTACGTTCTTATAAAAATGCACTCACAAATAGGGTATCCTATGACATTGGCATTTGTTGGGTTGAATGTGTTTTCCCTAATTAGCGTGAAGATGGGATGGGAAATGTGTGTCAATGTGCATGTGGCGTATTCCAATCTGCTAGGTAATTTTGTGTCGCAGGACCTAATACTAAAAATCCTTAAACTGGATAGGAACGAATATCTTAAAGCAGTGAAAGCATTGAGACCGATACTATTCCCACTGGGTGTGTGGAATTATACATTGATGTCCGCCTGCAGAGAGAACAAATTAGGACTGTTGGCGACCGTGCTGGACGAAACCATAACATGTATAATGACATTTTAAGGCAGGAGAGAGTGCTCAAGTTTATTTATCTAATCCTTGTTTTTTATAAGGCGAGGGAAAACCCACACTTACTCTGGTGTGCGTTGTTCCCCAACCATGAAAATATGGCCATCGCTTTGCACAGGTTTGTTGATTCCTTGTCTTCGTCAACCTTTTGCCTCTAGCGTTAGGAATTAAAGTGTAGTTTGTAGATTTTTCTTGGGGGGGCCTAGAGCCCGTTCTTGAACGGGCCTCTACTCTAGTATAAATCTAAATTCGTGATGAATTTCATATGTATGTACATAAAACTGAACAAAATCCTGAACGCAACGAATCCTGTAACCCTGCACATAGATATGTACAGGGTTACACATATTTGTTTAATACCTCATAATCGCATAGTTAAACAAAAAAAGTTAACATATATAAATAATATCTCAATTGAATCAAATAAGAAATATCTAAATACGTATATCTGTATTGAATCAATAAGGTAAATATTATAAATTAGCGGAGGTAAAATAAATGGGTTAAACCAGGGGGTTTAACAATTGACATGACCTCGAACGTGCGTGGAGAATCTTATACTCGAACGCAGGAGGCGAGAAGGAATGAACCATATGTATTCCTGAGCTCCCGCACGTTAATAATCATGCATTTTTAAACTTTAGTAAAATTTGCAGATTAAATCAAATGCCAAATTAGACGTTGGTTGATGTCGGCATGTCCTACATACCTACTAAATTTATGTGGTGGAATTGGCAACTGACCGTGCCGATAGTTACCCGTCCGCAGTGATGGTTATGGTGACGTTAGGGTCGGCATGGGATGCAGAACCAGATAAAGCGATTACTTGGCGAGGATGTCAAATTCCTATTATGTAACATTAATGGTGTAGATTTTCAGGTTGATCACAAGGTTATGTGGTTTTTCACTAAAATTGTAGGCCCCCATCCCACACAGTTCGAAAATCAGAACCCCTCAAATTAAATAACCCGCCGTTGCTTCGCTTTGTGTTTCAACTACAGATTCATGGAAAACTAATCCTAAGAAGCCCATTTTTTTTTACTTTTACGATTTATGTCTCGTCCAAATTGACCAGTTAATGCCGCATCCTGTATTATGTGTTCACTGACCAACATAGTTTCTTTAAATTAAGTAAAAACGACCGTCATCCTAAGAAACAAAACAAATACTTGTATTTGGCAAAAGTAATGTTTTATGTATTTAGAATTGCGTGCTGTATGGATGGAAATTTGCTATCAGGAGCAACCCTTTCTAGTAAATTCAATATTTTCTAACGCAAGTGTCCAGTTATTTTAGGATTAATACTAATACTCTCAAGTTGTATGTACATAAATATGTTTGCGTGTTTTTTTACCGCTTCGTCAAATTTTATGACCAAACGAATCACATCTTTGCCGTACAATTTTTTCGTAACCAAACGTAAGTTGGGTGAAATTTTTTTTAAGAGTTCAACTATTTATATAATGACCAATCTGTAAATACATATATGTATATGTGAAAATGAAATTGAGGTTAACTATGAAAAAAGAGAAGGTTTATAATTCTGTTTCACTATTGTATGTATGCATCTTTATATGAAAATACAGCGAGAATGCAAAATAAGTTTGCCCTTGCACATATTTGTGATATTTCCAAAATCCTTTGATACAGATGAACTCGCAAAATTAAGTAATGCCTAGAAATGAATACAATTTTTATTCTAGAACTTTCAAATTAAGAATTTTCACAATTTTCAAAAGCATTTATGTAGTTATCACCCTTAATATTCCCACACAGCGAATTTTGCCCTAATCGATTCAGCTTTAACGTCAAAATAAAAGTCCGGCACTGCATCGCCAGTGCCTACCTCGGTATTATTTGACGTCACGTAAAACCCGTCCAACACCGGGGTCAACCACAGCTCAAAATCATACGTCACCGCTCCAGAAAGTAATTCTTGCGTTAATTTAGGTTTGAGGATTGATAAATATCCTCTGTCTTGAGCCCGCATTGACCCCATAGATTATCCCGAACTTGACAATTGTTGCCCTGGTAGCAGATATAGGTGAAACTGGAAACTGGTATGGCTGAATATCCTCATGAAGATCGGAAGCCCACATATATTTCATCGGATAGGATGTGACGTCGCCTTCATTTTCGAACGTCCATGTCAAATTCCCTCGCAATATTTGCCTCACCGCCTGTGGCAGGAAGGCATGCGCGGGATCATCGACACTAAGATATTGTCTCATATAGGCTCCAACCGTGAAGATTTCACTCCCAGGAAGGTGACCATGTCGGAACATTAGTTCGAGTACAGAAGAAAATCAGGGTCCCATGGTGGAGGCGTCTGAATATCTTCTGATGGCATGTGCCAAATTTGGAAGACTTCCTTGATCTTGGGGATTATACATTTCCGTTACGTTAAACTCATACGGCACGATCATAAACCTAGCCCGCTCGCCACTCACGGAATGAACGAAACTAATTTTAGTATCATTTGTAGCACCGCGGCGAACAAAGGTTCCAGTTTCGGTTGCAATGGTGAAAGTATTGCATAGAAGTTGTGGGAAGATGAGCACTGAAAAGTTCTGCGAAACTGGTTCCTGATATTGAAATTATTTCGCCACCTTCAACATCCCAACTACGACCTGTATCCGACTGAATTCGGAATTTCCACACATTGACGACCGAAATTGAAAATGGATAAATAACCGATGGCTGCAATAATCCTAGATGTTCATGCATCGGGTATTTTTCTCCTGTAATATCATCAATGTAATAAAGCTGGGTGGAGTTTGCTTGCCCAGCTTCAAATAGAGACTTCACGATATCAGGTAACATTTGGTAGGCCACAGATCCAATATAGTTTGTTATATACCATCTGATTAGGCCTGCCACCTCGAATATTTCAGTACCACCAGTAATATGGTCGAAACCATTCATTAGAGTCAGCAACTCGACGAAGGAAGCATTGCGTTCCGATTGTGAGGGCAGAGCCGCGATTTCTCTTGCAGTTGAGGGTATATTTGACCTGATTCCTGTAAAATAAGGTATACAAATTAAAATTGTTACTCATTGTTGTACTGTCTAGGCTTGAAGATTCACGGTCCTACTACTCTAGTAAGGTGTACGCACAACGTAACGCACGAAGTGACCCAGGCAGCCACAGGCAACCGAATATGATTATAATATCAGGAAAATGATGTCCTAAGCCTGCCTGTAACAAGATATTCGCATAGACTATAAGATACACAACATACTAACGATTTCCTCCAGATATTATTAAGACATCGTACTGCTCCGTGGCTGCTTGGGAGGGTAAATAATTTGTACCCGAAATTGACTATAAAATATTAACATAATTTCCCTTCAAGGTTCCATGGTGACCAAAGGGAAATATGTAAAGAAATTTTAGTGCAAATATTTTCACCATGTATGTATGCAACGATGATACCGTCTCACCTCTGTACGACGCATTCACATTGAAGGTATACGCATGCAGTGAAAATACCGCTGGTGGTTCGTCCGGATATGTGGAGCTTAGAACAAAATCGAACGGTGGTCTTGTTCTCGGCGCGACGAAATAGTCACCGTCATAATAAAGGTGGAAGTGCTCGTCTGACTGGTCAACCGGTATGAGGAGGAAGTCCGATACTCCACCGCCCTTTGTTAAGGTACCATTTGCCAGGGAATGTTGAATTAGTTTTTCTAGATTTGCTAGATTTTGTGGTGCATTCTGCGGCTGGTTGTTTCACTTTCTTTGTCTTCTTTTTCGATTTCGAATCTTGATCACTCTCTTGCTTTTCCTGTAATAATTTTACATATCCTTCGCTTGTAATTATTTCTGCTGGGTCAATTCTCTTTTTAATTTGTTTATTTTCTTTGCGTGGCGTCACTGTTTGAAGCGTCGTGATTGTGTCTCAACAAGCACCCCAAGCTGATCAGGCCGATTCACTTCAACCTCAATGCATGCTTTTACCCCGGAAGTTTCCATATTTTGGTCGTTTTGTTTCCCAACTTGGTCACCAAATTGAGCACCTTTCCGTCCTCATTTTGCATTCCATCCTCATTTATTTTTGGCTATGTTTATTACCTGAATCTAAAGACATTACGCAAGAAGTACGAGTCGCGCACTACGTCCGTAACGAAAATGGTAACGAATTTCTAGAGAGTATGTATGTCTTACGATAGGTTAGGCGCCGATTTTGATTTGGACCGATTCTTCAGTGTCGTCCCTTCCTTGAGCAGAGTGAAATTGACCACACTTTCCGGTTGGTTCATCAGAGGTCAGGAAGGTTTCGAGTTTCGGAAGGATAGTGAATTTAGCTGGAAACCATTGTATGTATACTAACTTGCCATACTTTTTGAGAGTCGAGTGAAAGATTATATAAATACTTAAGTTTCTGTAAATGCATATGTATGTGCGATAAGTTAAAATATCTAGTCTGAACAACTAATATGCATCTATGATAAATATGTGTACATATAATTTTTTTTAAAACAAAACTCATGATTTGTATTTATTGACAGTGGACAGAGTGACAACGTTCATTTTATTCGAGCTTCCCAGATTGTTTATTTATGCAAGCACCTCCCTTCATTATTTTGCGACGCTAACCTCGGTTTATTTTATTGTCGTACGAAGTCAAATTATTTGACTCAAATCTAGAGTGATACATAGGTACTCCCTAACCGATTCCATCGGGCATAAGTATTGTATATATGTAAGCTTAATATAAAAGCATAACTTGTATATAAGCTTCCCATATGCATATTCAAGATACATAAGCAAAGCAAGTCGCATAAAAAGTATTAGATAATTTTACGACAATTTTCATTACAAATATTACAAATATTACAAATATTATTAAGAAAAACCTATGAGAAGTCAATTTCGATGTCGATTATTACATATTTACCAAGTTTCTGTATGTTCTGATATGGGATGAATATGTTAGAAATGTAAATATATATACGCCGCTATTTTGAATGTTTTCAAAATGAAAAAAAATCAATAAAACTAACACTACCTTGGTAGTATAGCTCAAATTGAGCGGCTGGTGATATATTAGTGTTTTTATGGAAACTAATAATTTCGGCATTTTTCGCAGCCCGATTGATCTTAACCAGAATCGGATAAAAGTCCTTGGTTGTTGCAGGCAGCCTCAAGTCAATCAATTCGTAACCCTTAGAATTGATTAGGTCTGTATTTATGGAGATAAACGAAACTTTTTAATTCTTATTTTCACGAATATTATTACGACACATGAGATCCATTACCTAACACTGTAGATGCTACCACTCCCTTAGGCCCATTTGCTGAAAACGCCAATAACTTATCAGTCATGTGCACCGTACCTCCAAACTCTGTTGTGTTGAAATAAGTTATTTCACCGGCTCTGCCGAGGATCTCTAAAAACAAACGAAAATCATAAGATTTATGATATTGAATACACAGTTATGGTGTGATTTTATTAAGGTTGCCACGATAGTTGCATTACCCGGCCAATATTTACCAATTACCCGAACCAGGTGTTTAAAGTGGTATTTACCACTGGTAAAAACTGGTATTTACCGGTATTTACCACCGAGCTAAAGTGGTATAAAGTGGTATGAAGTGGTATAAACCTTTTGGGGTATTGTGAGATTAATCCTGCCATACGAAGTTAAGAAAAATTTGCAAGAATTAATTATTGATTGATATATGGACAGTGGACACACTGTAATTACATCTGTAATCTTCATGTTAAACTATAAGCAGACTCCAAAACGCACACTAGTCCAAACAGTAGTCCAAGTAAGTAAGTGCGTAAGTACTTTCAACTTGAAAGTACTTACGATCATTGAAAGTTTCAATGATCACAGCTATAAAAGTCATAAGTTATTACCACAGCACATACTGGGTATTATTAAATTTATTTAAAATGATAAACAGATTCAAGAATTGTAAATAGTTTTCAAGCCAGATATTAAAAACAAACTTTGGTTTCTGTCAATTGTCCCACGAAGGCAATGAATTTCGGTTTGTTTTAAATGTGACAGTTTACAGGAAAGTTAAAAAATGTAATGAACTAACGCGCAACAAAAATATACATTTATGATGGACATTAAATGACACGTGTAATTTGTAATTTTTTATGTCTGATTAAATTACTGAGAAATGTTAGGGAAGGTGAGAAACATTATGCTAAACTATTAACAATCTACGTATTATAAAAATATCATTTGGATCGAACTTCCCACAGTTTAAGTCAACCAATCCTGACTTTTTACCACTTGTTACCAGTTTATACCACATTTTACCATTTTACCACTTTTTACCACTGTGATGTAAAAATCAAACCAAGCGGTAAAATTTAAAACACTGCCCGTACCTGCCCCGGCTTTCTCGTGAATCATGCAATTACTAGCAGGGCACGAGGGAGGGGCAGTTGCCAGATCTAAATTTTCTCACCCCAACAATGCAACGATTTTGTGCATGCTGGAAGCAACTTTTATACGTTTAAGTCTAATCACTAAATTAATATGGCCTAGGTCACAAATTGAAGGAAATATTTACGAAGTTTGATTTTCCCGCCTAAATCGCCCCAAACCAAATTTTTGCAAATTTACGTACTATTATTACCAATAATACATAATTAATAATTATGCACTATTATGGTAATAATTGCATAATAGTCTATTATGTAATAATTACCCCCTGCTTGTCTCAGTTTCCACGCAGGTAATCATTTACTAAATTCAGCGTGGTGGCTATTTTTTGGCTTGGAACGTTAGTGGTTTGCGAAAAATACAAATGCAACTCTGTCCGTGCCTCAAGGTTTACTCGCATCAACTTTCATAAAAAATGTCCAGAATATGTGATTCCGATGGGAGCTACATTTTTTAATTAATCCAGGAGCTAATTTCACACAGTAGATGAAAATTTTGGGGTCAAGGGAATTAAAATTCCCTGGTTACCAGGTTTCTATGTAGGTCTGGGGATTGCAGGGGATTGATGGGGATGGGAGTTTTCGGGGTGATGTAGTTAAATTTAAATACCAGACTTCTGCGCAAAATGCCCGGGAAGCCGGGTACCCCTGCCAACTTTATATTTTATCTTGAAATTACACTTAAAAATTAAACAGAAGTATGTACATACCCAGTTTAGCATGGATTGCTTGGCGCTGGCCTTCTTTCTCCAGAACTAACATTATGCTTTCGTAACTAGTCATTATGTCTCGTCTGCGGGTGATTTTTATGGGGACACGTTCTCCGTGAGAGAATATGTTCACCAAGAAAAATTCTCCTGATTTCGACTGGACAATGTTATAATCGACTTTGCCTACGTTGTAACCCAACAGAAAGTGTAGATACCAGGTGTTATCCTCAAAGTGAAAATCTATTTAAGCAGTAAACAATACATAGATAAAGCATACAAAATTCGATTCCACAATATGCAATATGGCATTATTTACTAATAAGTATAAACTCCAATGTGTCAACGCTTCCAAAGATCCGCGTCAATCTGCCAAGATTCTGAAGAAAGACCATTTTGTCGTTTTGATTTCGTTTCCATTCTAGGCATTGTGAACATTGGGGACACCGAACCTCTTTTTCATTTTTCGCAAGATCAAACAGCTCCAGACCACCTGTACCACAAAATATCGAAGATAATGAAGAAACAAATAAAATAAACCCTCCAAACGAATGTAAATAAGTAGCGTCAGAGCGATTCAAGTTTCTTTTAACGTTTCCGTATATGACCTCGTCCTAACGGTCATGAGGTCAAAAATATTAACGTCCTTGAAATTACAGTCAAATTTCCTTTAAAAGGACACCCCATATGACAATTATGAACCTTTTGATCTTTGACCTCGTCCTCAAGTTCATAAGTCAGAAGGTCAAAAATATTGACGTCTTTGAATTCGCGTTGGAATTTCCTTTAAAAGACAACCCATAGGAAAATTAACGTGAATTTAATTTTGGACCACCCCGATGGGGGGGTGGTCCGATTGACTCCATTATAGAACTTGACCGAGAACTAAAAATTGGAAGCACAATGGCAAAACCGCTTTTGATTATGTTGAGACATTCTCAAGATATCCTGCTAACGGACGGGTGGACAGACAGACGGACAAAGTGATCACAATAAGTAGCGTCAGAACGATCCCAGTTTCCTTAAAAATTTCTCCATATATGATATCGTCCTCAAGGTCATAAGGTCAAAAATTTTAACGTCCTTGAAATCGCGACCAAATTTCCTTTCAAATGACACCCCATATGACAATTATGTACTTTTTTGACTCATGACCTTGTCCTCAAGATCATGAGGTCAAACATAATAACGTCCTTGAAATCTCGGTCAAATTTCCTTTAAAATAACAACCCATATGAAAATTAAGGTTAAATTTAATTTTGGACCACACCCACTGACGCAGTGGGGTGTGGTCCGATTGACCCCATTTTCGAACTTGACCGAGAACTAATAATTAGAAACACAATGGCGAAAACGGGGTTTGATTATGTTGACTCGTTCTGGAGATATCCTGCTTACGGACAGACGGACGGACAAAAGGACCACAAGAAGTAGCTGACGCAACTTAATAATGTTGAAAGTTGACAACATTTTTGCTCGACAAATGTATGTATTAAGGCACAGTGAGTTATTCGACAAAAACTGCGAATCAATTATTTTAAGGTCTAAAATGGACCCTTGTGGGTGGGGGAGCATAAAAATATGGCTTATTGTGGTTTTCGAAAGGGGGTGTGGTGTCTGGGGGGGTTTTTATGTAATTTCAAAAAAGTCTTACATTCCCCCCAAAACCACACCCACTTTGAAGACAATTTAATGCTGATTAAAAAAAGCTATCATACATGCCGCTGGCTCCTATCATTCTCCCGGGCAAAAATTAAACCTGGCGAAGAAACAGGATTTTTGTCCAAAACGACAATTTCGACAATTTCAAATGGCTGCCAAATTCTTAAATCGAAAAAGTAGCAGCCAACGACCCATACGTCATAAACTACCCATGTAGGTGTGTCTAATGACGCAACGTTTAGCTTTCTGGGGGGTGGCCATTTTGAGAAATCATCACGCAAAGTTGGGCAAAATCAAGGTTGGCGAATATGAAAAATTTGTTTACATGGAAAGGGGCAAAGTGAGAAAAAGTCTTAGAATTGTCTGAAACGTGAAAATCCAAGAAATCTCACAATGCCCCAAAAATCTCAAATTGCCCCAGGCTTGGATTTTCACGTTTCAGACAATTCTAAGACTTTTTCTCACTTTTCCCCTTTCCATGTAAACAAATTTTTCATTTTTTTGCCAACCTTGATTTTGTCCAACTTTGCATGATGATTTCCTAAAATGGCCACCCCCAAGAAAGCCAAGCGTTGCGCCATTAGATACACTTATATGGGTAGTTTATAGCGTATAGGTCATTGGCTGCTACTTTTTCGATTTAAGAATTTGCCAGCCATTTAAAGTTGTCGAGTTTTGCAATTTCTGGGAACGCTCATCTGACGCAATTTTGCCTTAAATTATTAGAAAGACTACAACTCCGAATGGGACAAGGGTCACAATATTATAGTCTTATGAGTGTAGTTTACGAGAAGCAGGTCAGTTATTGCTACTTGTAACTCTAAACGATATAGCTTCTCTCAGAAGTGCTCGACCTGTCACCGTTTTCGTCACCTGGATTTTGCCCAACTTTGCGTGATGATTTCTCAAAATGGCCACCCCCCAGAAAGCTAAACGTTGCGTCATTAGACACACCTACATGGGTAGTTTATGACGTATGGGTCGTTGGCTGCTACTTTTTCGATTTAAGAATTTGGCAGCCATTTGAAATTGTCGAAATTGTCGTTTTGGACAAAAATCCTGTTTCTTCGCCAGGTTTAATTTTTGCCCGGGAGAATGATAGGAGCCAGCGGCATGTATGATAGCTTTTTTTAATCAGCATTAAATTGTCTTCAAAGTGGGTGTGGTTTTGGGGGGAGTTTAAGACTTTTTTGAAATTACATAAAAACCCCCCCAGACACCACACCCCCTCTCGAAAACCACAATAAGCCATATTTTTATGCTCCCCCACCCACAAGGGTCCATTTTAGACCTTAAAATAATTGATTCGCAGTTTTTGTCAAATAACTCACTGTGCATGGGTTGTCTGATTTTTTAAAAAATTGGTCGTATTTTTTTTTAAAGAATTTTTCTTTCCAAGTTTTTCAAAATATGGTCTAATGTTAGCAGAGGAAATTTCGAAATGTGCATAAATATCCAAACCAGTGTAGCAAAAGTAACAAAAATAAAGCTTACACTTACCCTCATAGAAAGGGTAACAGCTCGCAAATTTTAGTAATTTGGACGTCAGGTCTTTCTTTAGGCTGTTAACCGATTCATTAATGACCGGTTCCCAATTACCAAGCACAAGATCATTAAGGTAAACTAGTGCCACTTCCACACAATCAAATATTTGAAGGGGGTCAGAATGAGCGGTTATCACAATGAAAACTAACAATGAGACGACGCCAGCGGTCTCGCTCTGATTTTGATGAAACTTCGATAATTATGTAGCGTTAGGTAAATAATTGAAAACATGTTTCGGGATTTTTCATAATGCTCAGTTTAGACAAAGTTACGATAGTATAAGTGGCCGAAAATTCGCATTTTTCTCGTGAAGTTTTTCTTTTTTTGTTTTTGACGGAGATAAGTGCGAATTCTCGGCCACTTATACTATCGTAACTTTGTCTAAACTGAGCATTATGAAAAATCCCGAAACATGTGTTCAATTATTTACCCAATGCTACATAATTATCGTTATTTCGCCAAAATCGTAGCGAGACCGCTGGCGTCATCGCATTATAAGTGGAAAGTACAAATTGGCAAGGGCAACTAGTAAAAAGATCATAAAACAGTACACTATATTGGAACATTTTGTGGATTGCCACCACAATTTTGTGGATTGCCACCACAATTTTTGTTGTTTGTCCTGTTCAAACACAGTAGGAAGCATGAGAATCCAATCAGATGACATGACTCGTTTCCTCTTCATATAGAGTTCTAACTCTTTCATGAAGGATTCGGGGGAATCGAGTGTCGGAGAAAATTTGGGAACCGGAAGATTACCACCCGAATGAAAAACAACCGTATTTTGGAGGTTGGTAACTTCATGTTGATACGGATCACTGGATACAGAAGAAGTGTTGAAAGCATCTCCTAATCCACCATCCTTGGGAGGTGGGGAAGATGAGACACCAGAAGGGTGTGGAGGCGGTGAAGCCTTACGAGAAGGAGGAATAATTTTGGGCGACAATGGTGCAGAAAAGGAAGGAGGAATGATGGTGGTATTAGCTGAAGAAGGACTGGATCCTGGGGCATTGGAAGAAGTTCGAAGTGTGGCTATTTCCTCCCTTAATTGAGAAATATCTAACCCAAAAGCAGTCTTCATCTCTTCAATACATGCGGAGAATTTCTCATGCATAGTCAACAAATGCTGAGAATGTGCAAAATGAGTGGTGTAATTGTGCACCATTTCTGGAACAAGAGCTATTTTTGCCTTAAAATCTGCTTGCAAAAGCTCAAAACGTGGATCGTTATGACATAAATTCTCCAAATGATCCACCCTAACCTATCCTCGAAATCTCATTTGACCCCTGCAGCAAATTGTAATGAACTTCCCGTTCTAGAGAGGATAATTGAGGACCGAGGTTCAATAACGGGGCAAAATTAGACGCTGAATTATCCTGAAAACGATTGATTTTCTCATGCGTCTCCAGAAAAAGTCGAGCGGAATCTATGGCGAGCGATTCTATTTCACAATTGGCTAATTCTATGGAATCATCAAACTGACCCATTGTTGTAACAATTCCATTCACAATATCCCCTAATCTGCCCAATTTACGCAAAATTTTAGCAAAGAGAGGATGGCGGTGTAGTTTCTGATTGAATTGAGAAATAAAAATCGGATACTATACCAGACCAGCAGCAAGATTACCACATTTGGCACGATCCACAGCATGGCGACGGTGAAATTGTCCCAGGAAACAGGGAAGGGGGTGGCGAAATTCGGAGCCGTCACGTTGCGGAGTTGTGTCCCATGAATTGGAAGAGGAGTGATTTTTCCCCACGACGAGAAAAACGCCCACATTTTGTCCATGATGAATGTTGCTGGCCAAGTGGTAGTGAGTGCACACAAGGAGAAAAATATTTCTTCTTTACTTGTTCTTCCGTTTAATTGTTCGTCGCACCTTTGCGACAAGGTCTACTTGGTGCACTTAACGACACAGTTTGTTTCCACCAGAAAGTATGAAAGGTAAGTTTCTGATACCAATTGTAGCACTAAATGACACAGTTTTTCACAAGAAAGTGTCGACGATAAGGTTCGACTACAAATTGTAGTTCTAAACGACACAGTTTTACACACGAAAATACCGAAAATAGGGTTCGACTACCAAATGTAGCACTAAACGACACAATTTTTCACACAAAAGTGCCGAAGATAGGGTTCGGCTACCAATTGTAACAGTTTGCTTGGTTCATTTTTGAAAAATAGCTCATAAATAACAGTGGGAGAGGCTTGTAGACTGAATTTTTAATAAATATTAATTTACTTCGGAAACTTTAGATGTGAAAATGTGTACAAAAGCGTCTTGATGTACATATATGTGTATGTATTGTAAAAGTGGGTGGTAAATTTAGGTAATGTAGGATTGTTAAATGTATGTTACAGAGCTGAAGGCCCAAACTTAACTAACTCTTTTTCTGTCCTGCTCTTTTCCAACAGGACTCGACTTAACCTATTCACTTAAATCTATCAAATAACTTAATGAGGTGGTGATAGGAGAGTCGTCTCCAGAAGGCGACCTCTTATCACCATTTCCTCTCGCAACTCACTCCTATGTCTGCAATGTTAAGTTGTGCTCAGGTTGGCCAAAACCTGAGCACAGCCTACTTAAATATTCATGAAATATTATTCTCACAAGGCCGAATCCCTCCTGGGCTGGTGATCAATCAGCTCAGGGGAGGATGTGATCACACCCTGGAAAGGTGGAAAAACATCGTTGTAAGTCAGTCTGACATTTTATGAAGCCTACGAAAATAAAATCAACATTGCCAGCCACTGCGCTAGCTACCATACTTGAAATCAGTACCATACTTGGAAAATTAGGTAGTCCAAGTACCTTCATAAACACCTTAGCAAAGAAGGTCTTCGGTGAAGCCCTTAAGTTTGGAAGCTCGTCGTCTCCAAGTGGTACGCAATAAAATAAGGCAAGTTCGCCCAATTTTGACCGGTTAGTTTTCACATACATATTTTTCTCATGTTCCCCCAGTAGAATTACCATATGTAATTACTGATTTCGAAAGAGTATTTAAGGACCGATAATCAGATATCAAGACAGGTGAGATAGGATGAATAGTTCAGACGATATGCGAATTTATGTGGACCGAAATTTGGTACCGTTTTTCGAAAAATCGACGCCCGGACAAGCCGAGAAAATCCTTCGACTCTAAGTTGCTAAATATGTCAGCTGCGTGTGAGTTATGTACATAGGTCGTCGAAAACAAACTTCAAAATAAGGTCTCAAAAAGGAGCAAAGCTTACACGTTAAATATATAACTTTATTCCGAAAATCTCTTGGAACACGACCCACTATGCAGTTCTGATGCCACTTTTTTGGATTTGTTATTGATTTGGAATACTAAAACAACAGCTTTATCGTACAAGGGAACCTTCTGAGGTGCCCGTCGCGTCCAGGGTACCCACCATGTTTTTTTAGAATCTACTAGGATCCTAGATTAAGGATCCACTCACGTTTCCGTGCAAAACTTATATTTGGCGCCGAGCCGTGTCGCCAAACTTAAAAATTCGCAATTTGGACCTATTTCAAACCTACATAACTTTTACAGTTTCCGTTGGATTTTCACAATTTTATACTTAAAATGATCACAAAAGCCGAAATTTTAAGAAAATATAAAATAAAAAAATTATATTTTTGAGAAACTTTTACAATTTTTTCGACGAACCCCCATTTTTAAAAACAGCGAAATTTTGTAAAATTTCGTGACATATGAAAGTTGAACCCTTTGTCATGATTTTGGTCAAAAATTTCAAAAATCCGTCCAAGATTTCAAAAGTTAAGGCGGGTTTAAAAACAAAAAACGTTCAATTTTGGCGAATGTGGTGCCACGGCACGGCGCCTGATATGAGTTTTACACGGAAATAAGAACGGATCCTTCATCTAGGGTCCTAGTAGATTCTAAACATGGTGGGTACCCTGGACACGACCGGCACCTCGGATGTTTCCCCTGTTAGACGAGCTGCAGCTTTTTTTGGTGTTTTGAAAAATTCACCCGAAGGAGTTGAAGAGAATTACTTACCCTCGAAAATATATTTAGGAAAAGTAACGAACGACAATTTAACTTTTTGGGGGCTGGTGGGCCATTGATTTTTTTGTACTTGATTTTGGCTTAACTATTGACTTCCTGGCGCACCTACTACCAGGCTGCCCTACAATACTGACAGCTGCCATAAAATTTTGAATTTCCACCAATGGAATGATACTTGGGATCCGCCCCTTCCTTCGTTCGGATGCGCTGAATACGTTTGAAAAATATTCAAAAATTTCAAGTCATAAAAAATGTTGAAATATTATAACAAATATTTTAGTTTTTTACCTAAAACTTTTTTTCATTTTCTTCTTTGTTTATCCAGTTTTATGATTAAAACAACGTTTTTATGATTGACGGAATGTTGTGTGTCTCCTCGTAATGCTTCCAGGTTTGAGATTACGAGGGTTCCACCGTTTTTTAACCAAAAATCTCAAAAGTAAAGAAATAAATAAATTGCAAAAATAAATAAAAAATATTTTGCTTCCCCTACGAGATGATGGATTAGGATTGGATTTTTTATTGACCTTATGTAAGTAGTACTTACATAACGGTACTTACTAATTACCGTTATATCTCTAATTGGTTGTATTCAGAGATTTGTAACCGTTTTGGAAATATTAGCCCGGAAAGCGTCAAAAACTTAGGTGTGAAAATTTTCGGTTTTCGAGCCCCAAAATTGGTTGGAGGGAACTTTTGTCAAGTTTATGTTATTTATTAAGTAGCGTCAGCTTCTTATTGTGCTCGTTTTGTCCGTCCGTTTGTCCGTCCGTCCGTCTCTCCGTCCGTCTGTCTGTAAGCAGGATATCTCCAAAACGAGTCGACATAATCAAACCCCATTTGCGACATTGTGCATCTAATTTTTAGTTCTCGGTCGAGTTCGAAAATGGGGTCAATCGGGCCACACCCCACAGCGCCAGGGGGTGTGGTCCAAATTAAATTTAATTTTAATTTTCACATGGAGTGTCATTTTAAAGGAAATTTCGATCGTTCTGACGCTACTTTTTCATATTCGTTTGTGAGGGTTTATTTATTATTTCCCTATACTAATCTTCAAAATTAGACAATAAAAAGCCGTGCATGGCTCGCCAGTATCCAAAAAGTTCACTACTCCTTCGTGCAAACGACGATGTGAACTCTTCAGTTGGTTTTGGGAACACATTGAACAGACAAAAATTCGTCGACGCCGAGTATAGTTTCATGGTCAGTTTTTATAACTGTGCAAATAGGATCTCTGATCCTATGTAGAAACGTAATGTCGAAAACGGCTTCGACTCGTTCTGCAGATATCCTGCTTACGGACGCATACAGAAGACGAACGGACAGAACTATGGACGGACAAGGCGATACTTAAGAATATAACAGTGTTTTTCATGGTAGTTTGCGAATAATGAGAGTACTTTGATTAAAAACAATGGGAGGTAGAGGTCGTATGTCTTCGGTTTCTTTCACCATCCATTTACCCAATGGTAAATCCATCAGTCCTATTCTGACTGGCGGAGAGAAAGGAATACCATCAACACTAATGTTTTTGGATTTCCCGTGACTGGTGCGAGTGGGCAGGATTTAGCACGGTAAATCGTCTCATGGTCTTCGAGAACCGAAAAAATACGAGGTTTTTTTTTACGAAATTTACGATAAATGTCGTAAATCGAAGAAATTTGTCATGTGTGGTATTGCACATGCAAGATTACTAGTTGTGCTACAATAGCTTGTGTAGCAGTAGTCAATATTTTATTTGTAGCGGAAGACACGAAGCTCGACATAATCCTCTTCAATTGGATGAATTTCGAGCTGCATATCTTCCGCTACCAATAAAATATTGACTAACTGCTACACAAGCAATTGTAGTACAACTAATAATCTTGCATGTGCAATATCACACATGACAAATTTCTTCGATTTACGACATTTATCGCAAATTTCGTAAACCAATACCAGCCATAAGCTCAGCATTGAGATGAGTGGTGGGACATAGGTGTCCCTGGTATAGATACCACATTCTTAATAAGCGGACTGAAATTTTTGCGTTCTCCGGATTGTATGTACATGCTCCAAAAAATCGGCCAAAGTCTGGATTTTCAAAAGACTTCAACTTTGCGAATTTTAACGCTATTAAAAAAATTAAGCACGATTTTTACTCAGAATTACTTCCTTGAAATTGTATAAATCCATTTTTGGATTAGTTCTTCAATTTTGCGGTTTCCCCATCCTGAGTATAACTTTTACCTATATATTACTTTAAGGTATTCTCGAAAACTAAAAAAATAATAAAACCAAGCGAGTTTATCTAATTTGCTTCTGCACTTGATATAGGCTTACCAAAAGTGGCCTACTAAATTAGGGTTAGTTTCAAGCTGATCTATTTCTATGCTTAATTATGTCTATGATTAGGTCAAAATCCTTGTAAAATTACTGATAAATATATTTACTAATTCCATAAAATTTGTTTAATTAGCTGCCGACTTATGCAATTACCAAAAACTGGACAAGTCAAGCCTTCTTATCTGCTTCCCATATGCATATGTACATAAATATGTACATCCGTTATTATTTTTAGCAACATTATGCTTACCTTCAATGCACCCGGAATATTTTTCGTCTTGAAAATTGTCGTCATGGATACCATCTTGGATGAAATTCTTCGCATCAAAACAAAGAATTTTGCTCGTTGTATCGCAGAAGATTGGTTGAAATAAGATAAATGTCAAGAATATATTTGAATTCCTCATGATTGCCAATTTATTTCTCTTAGATCTGTACCTTTATGAGAATGAGGACTGAAGAGGGTCGAAAGATTTCCTCTGTGAAATGGTTGAGGCTATAATTAAACAGATGAAATGCATTTTTCTTTCGCCATGATTTGTACCTGGAAAGGGATTGGCTTTGCTAAGATAGAACTGTGAGTATTGGGGACTGTACAGAAAGCATGTGCTCGGTTTGAGGGGGGAGGAGGGGGTTAGTGGTGAAGACATGCTATCCTTCCCATTTTAATTATAACATGGGGCGAATAGGTCACCCCTGTGGGGTAGGGGTCAAAATCCCCTGAAAATTGATCACGTGATTTATGTACGGCCCCTAGAATTCGAATCTAAATGTTCACCGAAGACCTGCAAAATGTGCCAGCCAACGGTTTAGTTAGGACTAATCCTTTGGTGTCTTTGAAAAGGGTTGAATTACTCAGGTAAAGGTAAATATGTTTATACATACATACATGAATAAATATATATTTTTAAGTATGTACATACATATGCCTGGATATGTGTGGGCATATGGTTACAAGGTAGGCAATGAGTTGACAATGGAACGCAGAAACGCATTCCATTGTCCTCTCACAAGGGAACCTCCGAGGTGCCGGTTGAATCCAGGGTTACCACCAAAATGACCACAATATGCGATTTACTGAGGGTCAGGCCAATATTATTAAGGGGTGAAAGCCCTTTATA